CTTTATGCGTTGCACCATGTGACGGTTTCACTTGTCCTCATGTTAAGTAACTTCTGCTTCAACGCCACATCAAGTTCTCGTTTCTTCATGTATTCCCTTTAATAATCGCAATTAAATGTCTTAACCATGGAACAAACTGAACCCTAATTATAATCATTTTTTCCCCCCTAAACAGCCCTGTGGTGTGTAATAAAGTTAAGTGGGGGTAAAAATGCCTTAACTTCCAAAATGTCCTCAAAGTCTGAAAGTTAAACTGGGCCTCACAAAGATAGTAATTTTAACACACACACACACACACACACACACACATAGGCCCACAGTCATGTTTCCATCACTTCTGGGGACATTGTATTGAAACTAACTCCCCACCGTTGCCGACCGCTTGCTCAGAGGAAGTCCAAAGGCAACTTTGGATTGTTGGGTTCTCACTTTAAATTTGTAAAGTCTTCATCTTACTATGTTAAGCACTGTGAGAGGACATATGTTGTAAACATACAAATAAAATTGAATTGAATTGACATGAACTGAAAAATCAATTTCCTGGAGATTACCTTAACCTGAACCTTAAGTGCAACTTAAATTTAATCTTAACCTAAACCTGAATATAACTTTAAACCAAGTCATACCTCATTCTAACTTTTAATGATCATGAGGTTTGTTTTTTGCCTCTAAAAAGGAAGCAGGTCCAGACAGCATGACTGTGTAACCAGGTGTCTGACCCAACAATATGAATACCACACGTACAAACACACATGCACTCATAATGAAATAGTGACAGTTATTATTGACACTATCTGCCAATTTGAATGTTTTATGTGTTTTACCAGAAAACAGGTCTCTCAGTTTAGAGCTGGAACCAGAAACTTTTAAAGCTAACATATCCTCCGATCTGAAGCCATGGTTACTCGAACTCAAGCTGCAGCTTCAAGCTCTAACTGAAAAATGTCAGCAACTTACGAAACAAGGCCTTAAAAGTGGAAACACAAGTGTGCTGAGCAAAGTCTTACAGACTAGAAAAGTGTAGCAACATTATGCGTCTGCAGCTGTCCATGTGTGCGTCTACACCAAAGTATCATCGAGGCTTTCATGTGATTTACACATAACTTTGTGTGCATATGAAAGTCAATTAGTGACTATGGGAACCTCTCACCCCCTTTCCCCCAAGAAGAACCAGGTGCTAGTTCATTGCTGGTGCTACTGCCAGTGCTTAATTGGTTCAAATCTCGCACCACCTAAGAACCTGTTTGCTTTTCCATTGACAAGGAGCCAAGTTAGACCCATACCACACATCACTGCATACGTAGCTGTTTATCAAAAAAACAACGCTCACACCACAAGGACGACCACACAGGACTCCAGACTAACTTTTTCACTGGTGCGACCAACTTTCTCATTTGGTCGCACCTCTCACCTTGTCACAGGCAAAACATATTGCTGACTTGCTGAACATTTTCTAATCAATAGACACTACAATTTACCAATGTTCCCCAAACGCCACACATCGCAGGCTGTGATAGCTGCTGCTTGGTGGCCGCGTTGCTCAGACTGGTGTGTGACCAAAAATGACTTTAAAAAGAGTCAACCAAGGTGTTCTAATGTCAGATTTGTCCAAGATGAAACCAAGTGGGGTTTTTTTCTCTTAGGGTCTTTTCTATGAGCGGAAAAAAAACAGCACATGTAGGTGCGTTCTGTTTTTTATGATAACGGTGCTGCTGGTGGGACACAACTGATAGCGGACAGTTTGTGCAACACTTGGATCTGGGAGGTCCTGACAAAAAAACTACACAAATTACCGCTTGTGTGTCCCATTCTGTGTTTCCACTGGTCTCGTTGGTCACGATAACCCCGCCCCCAGCTGCATACATACTTGGTTCTTAGGTCTGGCCCAGCCTGGGGTTGGTGCTTGCTCAGCACAAGTTTTGAGAACCTGGAGCCGGTGCTTAGGTGGTAGAAACACAAAGAACTGGTGCTAAGTCAGGCTCTGGCTCCGAACTAGCACTGGAACCAGCTCAGTGGAAAAGGGGTATCTGTGACCTTCCATGTGTTTGTGTAGCTCCTTCTGTTGTTTTTTTCTGGTCTGAAATATGCTTTGATGTATGGTAAATGAAAAAACCCAACTTTTGCAATGGATTTTAGAGAAATGAATGAAGTTGGTGATGCATAGTCCTGAAAACTGAATGGTAAAAAAAAAATAACTCTCTCATGGCTCCAGTGAAGTTTCCATCCATCCATCCATAAAGAACTGTCCTTGCATGTCCTCATGTTGAACATAAGGGGGTTAAATCAGTAGATCATAACGGACAAACAAAGCTATGTGGGAGTGGTGGTGTTTGCAGCTGTCTTTGTGCGCCTCCACATGGGCGTATAATCAAAGCTTTACTGACAATTAAGGTTACCACAGATGGTAGATTTGGTTTTTGGAACTGGTATCAAGCTGACTGCAGTGATGTGGGAGGTAGCACACTGTTCTCTCTCCAACAGTTTATGCAGATCCAGACCACATATACTTTTATTCTTCTTTTATTCAATGTCGATAGAAACCAATTTTTTTTAAACAATTTATGGGGCCACATATTGACTGAGCATTTTAACTTGGTGGTCGAGGGTTTACATGATCATAACCGACAGCATTTTCTAGTAAATGTTTGTCACTTTACATGGATCTATTTGCAGGCACGGCATAAATAAGCTCGACTGAAACACCGTCACTGATTATTTAGATTTAGGTCATGAGGAGCTTGGTAAAAGGTCATAACTTTCAGGTTAAGGTTTTCAGGTTAATCGAACATCGGAGAAATTTTGTGGTGTCAAAAAAAAACTTAACAGAACTCAAAATAAGTACAACTGGAAATTCTAATGTTATGAAATGGTAACCCACAAATATATTTCTGCATTTAGATATTGTGTTCGCTGACATCGTAGTGCATAAAACTCTATATAGCTTACAAGCTTCACTTCATTTGTTGAGAAACATGTGAACACACTTCATTTTTAGCAACAGTCTGACATTCAAATTGGTCTGCTTTGACACCCAGCTGTACTTCATCTTCTGAGAAAAATGAGGTTCCTATTGAGGTTTTAGACTTCCTATAACTGCGCTTGTACGCCCATCTGTCGAGTGCTCCGTACAGTGAAATGCAGCAACATAACATGACACAGACCTCATCGGATCTGTCAGACAAAAAAAAGTCCCAGGTAAGTGATTTATTTTATCATGCATGGTTGCATTGGGGTTGATCCTGAAGGGTTAAGCGAGAAACCGTCCACCTGTGTCAGTGTGATTATCCTACAATAAGGCATAATAATTCACTTTAAAATCAATGTGCACTGGGCGTGGATGCAATCTTATTCTTGTAGCCAGTGTTCTTTTAGTGTTTAAACATATTTTTCTTTCACCTTTTTGCAGAGTTTGTATAATCAGTAGGATGGCAGCCTCATTATTTATTCTTAAAAGCTTCAATAACATATACATTCTATTTAATATTACTATAGACATGGGAGTTTTGTTTTCTTCTAATGGTTTTATCCTAATCCTCATTTAAATGATACAGCTACACAATTCAAATTCATTGAAAGTGAAACTGTGTGAGTTTGTTACTATTGTATTTATAGTGTATCACAACCTAACACGTAGAGGTGTTTTAATACAGGGGTGTGTTGTGTGACATTATCAGGTCAATCAGATGAGTCGCATGTTTAGGCTACAAGAGAGAGAGGATGTGGCATTTGTGAAAAGATAAGACTGCACGCGCCTACAGTAGTGGCACAAAGGCTGCAAAGCAAAAAAAAAAAAAAACACACAACAGTAAACCTACTTGTAGATTTTTCCAACAGATTCACATCTAACAAGTGAACTGGAGTTTCAGTTTAAAACATGCATCTTCTTATTTTTCTTCATGGGGCAAAGATGGATAGCTGCTGGTGAAATAGCCATTTGTTACACAACACAGCGTTATGAAAGTATTTGTATTAAGGGTGGCATATGATAAGAACCAAACACATATTGTGGTGCTATGAGTGTAAAAAAGCTGATGAGTAACTGTGGGAACACACAGGAAGAGCATATAGAGGCGCGACCCTCCTGAAAAAGACCTTTGTAGACTATTTGACTTGCCACAGTGAGGAAAACAGACTTCATGATGCCTATGTTTCTTGAAATGTCCCAGCGCAGCGTGATAGCGATCAAGTATGTAAAACTACCAGTGAGTGGTAAATGTGAGCTTAAATCGTGTCTGTCCTGCAGCTTTCTAGTGACTGGATTGATAACGTTGCCTCTTCTTTGCTTGTTTATATCGTGGTTCACCTGCAGAAATTTCTTAGAAAGTGTTCATTCTTCCCCAAAACAACTGCATAAAACTTTCTAATATGGTATAATAAGTGTAACTAATATCGTTAATAACACCAGCACTGCCAAGTATTAACCCAGCACTATTAGGAAAGACATTTTTGCCATAACTCGAGTGTTTTTTCCCCCAACTTGACCTCCTAAATGTTATTGAATGCTTAAAACTGATGTATTAAACAGTAAGATATTATTTATTGTCCATGAATAAGGCAGTAATTACAATTAAAAGAACATTGCAATGTTGGTTTTTAAACAAATAAATGAAGGAAATTTAAGAACCATGTAGGTAAAAGTTGATGGTTTACAGTATGTTAGAAAATACATCGTAGTCAAAAGAACAACTTTTGCAACAGCTGGAAACTAATTGAGAGTTTTAAAACATCTCCTTTGCATTTACATGTCTTTCTTGAAGTGAAAACATGAATTAGCTTCTCGAGCTAAAACTTTCCGTATAATGTCTGAACCCGGCTGCCGTTATGTTTCTAATCTGTTTCTAATCTCTCTTGTAGATCTCAGCAGACGGAAGCCTTAATTACAATCACTCAGTGCAACATCAAGACCTTCTCCTTCCAAGATGCTTTTCTGTCCTTCCAACCAGAAGGTGAACATCACCAGTAACCCAATAAACCAAACTGTGATAAACCAAACAGCCGGGATGACCTCTTTGAACGTGTTTACAATTTTCCTCCACGGCCTCTTCTCCACCATTGGCATCGTGGAAAACCTCCTTATTGTCGGAGTGGTGGGCTTCTATGTCCGCCGCTCTGTTATCAGCATCTGGATCCTGAACCTCGCGGCCTCCGACCTGCTCGCCACCGCTTCCCTGCCCTTCTTCACCCTCTACATGGCCCGAGGCAACACCTGGACAATGGGTCCCACCTTCTGCCGCATCCACTCCTCCGTCTTCTTTCTCAACATGTTTGTCAGCGGCTTCCTGCTGGCAGCCATTTCTATGGACCGCTGTTTGATGGTGCTGAGACCCGTCTGGGCCCAGAACCACAGAAGCATCCACCTAGTGAGGAAGATATGTGGGGTGATTTGGGTCTTGGCTGTGATCTGCACTGTACCCTTCTACATGTTCCGTGACACCATCCCCCTGCCCACCGGCCACATTCTTTGTTACTACAATTACGCTCAATTCCTCCCTAGTGAACCGTACAACTTAGAATCTTTATGTAAGCAGCGCAAGGAGGGCTTGGCATTCATGAGGCTCTTTCTAGCCTTCCTGATCCCTCTCCTGATCATCATCCTCAGCTACGCAGCCGTGAATGTCAGCTTGGCGCGCCGAGGCTGCCGACGCCCCTTTCGATTCGTTCGGCTCGTGGTGGCTGTCGTGGTGAGCTTCGTGCTCTGCTGGGCTCCGTACCACTTCTTCATCATCGCAGAAGTGATGGCCCCCAGCGGGGACCGTCTACAGACGCTCGCAGCCAAGGCCCTCCCCGTTGCAGCGACGATCGGCTTCCTCAACAGCGTCCTCAACCCCGTTCTGTATGTGTTCAGCTGCCCTGACCTGTGCAGTAAGATCAGACATTCTCTCGGTGCGGTGATGGAGAGCGTCCTGGCCGAGGATCTGGCAGAGCTGGCTCGACGCCGCAGCACTGCTCGTAGCTCCATCAACACCTCTGAGATAGTGCTGAGGCATAAGAATTCCATTCCAGTGCCTATGGAGGAGCAAGAGCACACTGAAACTGTCAGTAACTAAGGAGGCAAGGAGGCTTTGACTTACTTCAACTTTACCATCCATATATGAAAAAGTAGCGCGGCCTTTTTTGAGTCAATTAATGTCAAACTGCTGTTCATAAAACTTGTTCAAACATTCCTCAAATTACAAGCCATCCAGCAGCTCAGTTGCCATAATCCCTTCTGCTCCTGGTAGGTTTTTTAATTTGAAACATTTGCCAGATGTATTACATTTTGATTACATTTCAGCTCAATTTAGTTTTATTTATATCCCACCAATTCACAACATACGTCATCGCATAGCACTTCACATAGTAAGGTGATGACCTCACACAGAACAAAGAACCCAACAATATAAACCTGCCTTTGGATTCTATATGAGCAAGCAGTCAGTGACGATGGGAAGGAAAAAAGAAAAAAAAACTCCAACAGAACCAGAATCAGGGAAGGCAGCCATTTGCCTCGACTGGTTGGGGTGAGGGCAGGGTTGAAGGGAAACTTCATAATCTTGCAGAATACAATTCACCAGTCTTACTGATGGAAGTGCCAGTGTGGAGATGTTTATGATCTAAATTCATCATGTAATCTAAAAGTATATAGGGCTCATCAGTCCTTGTCAATTTTGTTGTAGCCTGGCTCTTTATCAGCACCAGGGTGTATTTGTGGTCATGCTCTCAGCTAATTTTTTATGCTTTTCTTTATTTCTTTTATTCAAGAATTTATAGTACTTCAAACAACTTTGTGTTTGCTTAGTGTATTTGACTAATATAACTGCAGCATGAACTGTTTTAGGGCATGAGCAGAATCAGTCCTGTACTGTACAGCAGTGATACTCAACTTACAGTCTGGAGGTCAAATCAGGTCAGTGGTATTGGAGTGCCAATAAAAAGTGTGTTATCTATCATTACTTTTTTTTTTTTAATGATAAACTCCATTACTGCTTAACAACTGGCTTCTGACCTCATGTCAATTTTTTGCGAAAATGGCCTCCAGCACAGCAAGTTGCGTTGCACTGTTGTACGGTATATACTCAACACAATTACTGTGGTTGTGCTATCGAACAGCATTCTGTTATTTTTTATTATTATCTCAACATATAATCTGCATATGCAGTCGAATAAAACAGACATTTTCTGTTGTTCTTGTAAAGAGTTTGATCTTGGGTTTGCAGATGCACAAGATGCCTCTCAGTAGATGCTATCAGTCGCTGCATGTGCTGACACAAATAGATCTTTGAGATACAGTCCGCCGTTGCTACTTTGGCAAATTTAGTGCTTACAAAAGCTATTTTAAAAATGTATATTGCTCCTCTGTTTTATTGCTCATTCATGCAACGTCTGTTCTTTTTAATAATGTGAGATTGCATATCTAAACATGAATAAAAAGAAAGAAAAACAATCAGGTTTGCCATACGATACGTACCTTGCATATAACCACAAACATGTTTCCATAGTGATTCACGCCCATTCTGTTGTTAAAAGAACTGACAACAAACAAGGCAGTAAAAACACATTTTAATTGTTGTAAACATAACAGTAAAAAAAAAAAGTTTGAGTGGGAATTTCCCATTATGGCTAGTTTTCATGCACTGGTCACACTCTTCAAAAACAAATGCACATTGAAAGTAGATGATCTGACCATTTCCTGGTGTTGTTTTCCTGTCTGTATATCTCTTCTTGAAGCCACAATGTGTATGAATGTGCAGTTTTGACAAATGTGAAACAACACATGTCCATATTTCTACTGAGTTATATAGTCGTGAATTTGTGTAGGCAAAAGTTCAAGTCTTTGCACTTTGAGATCTGTGCATTTTTCTGTCCCATATTAATCCAAGCAGTATTTAGATGATCACGAGAAGTAAAACTAAGAACTGTGCAAGAAGATTCTTTAAATGAGGAAGTGGAAACCCTCTGAACCTTGGTAATTTCTTCATTGAGAGTTGAAACTCACAGTACACAAAAACTGAACACATGCATTCCCACTGGGTGGCACAATTGACTAAATATCAAGAGTCAGATGTGTGGTCAATTCCAGGTTATGTTGCTAGAAGGTTATTCTGTCTACTTTCAGTCTCCCTCTTGGTGTCTGGTTGAGATCTGGTACTGAGGGTTACGTTTTTTGCGGGTGTTTTGCCCTCTGCCCAAACAAGGCAGGGATCTTTGCAGCTCCAGTCGAGCATCAGGGCACAGAAAGATGTAGAAGAGGGGATCCAGCAAGGTGTTGAGGCTGGTGAGACCGTAGCACAGGCGATAGACGAGGAAAATGGAATTCTCGAATCCGCACGGCTCGTCAGTCAGTAGCAAGGACACAAATCTGTATCCGCCAACGAGGTGATAGGGTCCAAAGACAACGATGAAGTTTACTGTGATCACGACCAGGATTCCTACGATTTTGTGCCGCTCGTGGTCTGAGACGGAAGGAGATCGTCGGAGTGTCACCCCGATGTGGGCTGAGGTGTAGCTGAGGGAGGAAGCAGAGATCAGACATCGACATATTCAGCCAAATATACAAAATTGATTTTTTTTTTCAAACTGTACAACTCAGAAACAACAGACAGTAACTCAGTAGCTCATCTGAGAGTTTGTACATTTTCCTAATTTTTCATGTTTGAATCTTAGTTTTGTTTTTGTAATTTGTCAGAAAAATTCGAAGCAGTCATGCAAATTTAACCACTGTGATGACTTAGATATGAAAGACATTTGTGTAAACAAACTCATAACCATGAAATGTTTACTTGAACAGGTGTGCAGACACAATAATGTGAATATTGGGGTTAACTCACCCTAGAATGGTGCACGGCAACAGAAAGCCTAGAAGCACAGTGGTGATCTTAAAGTGAGCATATCTGGGGCTGACGGGGTACTGCTCCAGACACAGCAGCCTGTCTGAGTCAAACACAGATGGCAGCAGTCCACTCAGGCAAAACAGGAAGGTTAGAGTCCACACTGCTACTCCTGACACTGCTGCTACCTTCACTGTCCTCACCCCACGGCTGCTCAGTGGGTACACGATGGCCAGGCAGCGATCCATCGCTATCAGGCACAGGAACACGACGCTGGCATAGACATTTACGTAAAACACATAGCCAACCAGCTCGCAGGTTAGCTGGCCGTAGGGCCAACGGTGCCCTCTTTGGAGGTAAAGAATCCACAGCGGCAGAGTGAGCAGCTGGAGGAGGTCTGACAGCAGCAGGTTGAGGATGTAGACCAGCTGACAGCCTCCCCCACCTGAGCGTCCCAGGTGGTACAGTCCCCAGAGAGACAGCAGGTTGCTGGGGAGACCCAAAGAGAAGATGAGGCCATAAATACAGGTCAGGCCAAGAACGTCCGTGTCCAAGGGGAGGTTGCAGGTGTCATTGGACATGTCTCTGTTGGTCAAGTGCCTGACATGGGAAACTAGACGTGACCTCAGTCAGACACTGATTGACACTCAGAGAATGATGACTTTGTTTAGCAATACCCATTCATTCACTCAAGACGAAGGAAAAGAAAATAAGTCTCTGTTGTTCCCAGTTAAATGCATCCAAATGTCATTTGTCCATTGTGTAATATTCATAAATCCATCCTGCTGTAGAAAAGGTCAGGCTCAGATTTTGTGCTGAGTCAGCCAGACTTCATAGAAACTCTGCTCCATCTGTGGAATAAATCCCTGCAAGTCAGATAGTGTGAGCACTCATGTGGTTTTGCATCTGCAGGTGCATGAGGATTTAAACCACATAACACAAACCAAGACTTGTCACTCACCTCTCGAGGCTTGGAGACCGACTTTCTTCCACAAAAGCGTGCTGTCCACTCTGCAGCTGGTTGACCTGTGCTCAAGAAATGTTGGGAACACGGTGTCTCGACCAAGCCTTGTCTATTCTGTGATCGTTTCCTCCACAGGAAGCCCACTTCTTCAGCTTTAAAGGCAACATCCTGAGGCAGGAGAACGCCTTTCTGCCCCAGAACAAAAACATACACTCTCTCGTTTTCTGTGCCTCCCTCTTTCTTACTCCAGAGGCATTCACAATGACTGAGGATGGACAGGGGCTGTGAGGACAGGCTGCACTGCTGTACAGTGACCTTCAGAGTGGTGGTTTCTGGCAGCGACCCTTCGACTATGCTGCATTTACACATGGTTTACATCATATTTGAATATTGTTTCCAGCTCTGTATTCAGCCCTAACTGAATAGAGAATTAATTTATTCCCTGTCTTGTGCATCTTGCCAAATGTTTGTAGAATATATATGCATGGTAAGTGTAAGTAAACCATCAAAGTGTTCTGTGTGTGTTCTCTTTAAAGGGCTGTTTGATGGTTAGGAGTTGGTTTGGGGCTAAGGGCAGAATTAGATTTAGATCAGGGTTGGATTAGAATTGAGATTTATATTTAGTTGTGATGGTTAGATTAAGTGGTAATGAATGTTCTCGCAAACATAGCAAAGTTTGTATGTGTGGTGTTTATGCATATCTGATTTACAACTGAGAGCTGATTGACAGACCCAATTACAACCACAGGAGAGAGCAGACAAAGGAAATACAAAATGAAAAATGACAACCAAACATTTTTCTCCACAAAAAAGATTTAATTAATAGCATTTGTAGACATGTTACATTTAACCATAGTGAACTTTTCTCAGGCACCACAGAAGGAAAATAATCTTACACAATTGAAATTGTTTCAGTGAAGAATGGGTATATTGAGACAATAGGTGTTAGTCAGTATTTTTACCCCACGGTTTCCAAGGGAGGAGGGTTTAATCACTCACTTTGTTTCCTTTAAAAGTCACAAATCTCTGATTTATTAAATAATGCAAGAAGGTTACTTATAAATTGAAAAGTCCCCTGTGAATTGATCACCGCTATATGCTTTCCAGAGCTCTGTGTAAAGGTCTTTATGCTCTATGCAGCCCTTGCTGGGCTCGAGATGGATATCAGCCGTATGTTGCTTAGACAGCAGATCGGCTCCAGGGGAAGTGTCCCTGGAGGTCCCAGTACAGAGGCAGCATGATAAGTTGCTCCTGCAGCAGACTGCAGGAAGTTCTCTGTTACTGTCGGAATGTAATCGTGTCATGTCAGGGAGTTGTGCACATTGTATGCACATAGAAAATCGGACATGAAGTCATTGCTGTCTGAGCTTTGCCTGCATTAACCCCGAAGTATTTGAGTTACTTGGGTTTTAGCACCCCCATCAGGGAACATCAGCTCACTGACAACAGAACACCAATACAGAGTTCTGCAAATACTAGTGGTCTCATTGCTCAATTGTCCCACTACTCCAAAAATCACCAAACTCTCAGTTTTTCTGATTATAGCATTTAAAAAGTTGGGCTTTTTTTTATTGACTTTAAATGTGAAAAGAGCAAAACATGTTTAAGATTTGAGGATAGTTGCATCAAAATTGAATCAAAACATGAAGCATTTAGACAAATGTACCCCCCAAGAATGACAAGTCCTCAGGTAAAGGCCACTCTTCACTTCTCAAAGATGTGTCTTCTTCATTTCTGACAAAAGCATTTCTCATTTTCTCATTGTTTTTTTCTTAAATAATGAATTCACAAGATTTTACACATTAAGACCAGTATGTTCTGGGAAAGGTCTGAGGTAGTCTCTGATAATCACCACTTATTTGTGAATGCTTCAGGGGGATTTTCCCAAGAAAAAGACTAAGCAGTCACTAAAACTAATTTATGTTTGGATAATTTACTCTGCTTTTGTCTTTCTTCTGGACCTCCGGCAGCAGAGAGTCCTACACGTAAAGACTAAAACCCAGATGAAGGTGCCAGTTAATGCCAAGATAAAAGCAACCACATCCAAGCAGAAGTAGGAATACCAAGGCAAACTGAATCCTGCAGACGTCAGGTGGGCTGCTCCTTTGTTCCTGATGACGTACTCAATCCAGAAGATGGCGGTGTCCATAGGAGACATGGGTCTATCACGGTGTAGCTTGGAGAGACGCTTTATGTTTTCACGGTAAGAGGGAGTCTCAATGACGTCCGTTAGAGCCTCCAGGAAGTTCTCTTTGGTCAGAGATTTGGCCTCCGCCACCCGAGCTGCACCACGCTCCTTCAGCCGGAGTAGATTGTCAAACTGATCAAAGAGGAGGGGCAGGCCCAGAACGGGAACGCCGTGGTAGATGGCCTCATACATGCCATTGGTGCCTCCGTGGGCTACAAAGGCACGAGTCTTGGGGTGTCCCAGGAGATCTTTCTGAGGCAACCACTTCACCAGCAGGGTGTTGTTACCCAGAGATGAAGGTTTTTCACCCACAAACCTCCAAATCACTTTCTGAGGGAGTTGAGCGAAAGCAGCAGCGATGGCCTCTGTGACTTCTTCAGACAAAGCTGACACCAACGTCCCCACAGACATGACCACCACCCCGTGTTCCCCAGAGCTCTGCATGAATGCTTCCAGATCAGCAGGGAGGGGTTTGGCCTCTTTGCACTGGAACCCTCCTATGTACACCACATTAGGCATGGTGGGCCGAGGGAACTCAAAGACAAAATCTGCCCTCAGCAGCCAGATATCAGCTGAATGCTGCAAGGACAGCAGGTTAGTTCCAGGAGGGAAGTGCCGCTGGAACAGATCTGAGTAGGAAGGGTTGATGATGAAGTATTGTTCAACAACACTACGGAGAAAATGTAGCATATTCACGGTCCTTTCCGCAAAATCCATTTGATCAGAAAGTTCACTTCCTGACACGGGGACATAGGAGACAGGAGAGGGAGCTATAGTTAAATGGCCCTCACCGGAGTTAATCCAGCGCACATTGAAAACCATCGGCAGCTTGAGGTAGCCACCGAGAAGAACCCCTAGAGGCAGAGCAGGGTCTGTTAACATCAAATCAAACTTGGCGTCCTGCAACTTCTTCATAAAAACTGGGTCGTCTAACATCGAAGCAGCTGCTCTGCTCAGGATACCATGTCCCTGAGCCAGCATGGATGTGATCAAGTGCTGCTGGCAGAAGGTGCGTATAAATGTAGGGTACTTGCGACACTCTATAACATTTAGCAACATTTTATCGTAGTATCTCATGTCAGCCTCATCTTCCAGCATGCGCACATCGATAGTAGTAAAAATAGAAGAGTTACTGGGGATGTACCAGCTCTTTGCAGAGCGCAGCACTGTGATGTCGTGGCCCCTGGAGTGCAGCTCCTGGAGGATCACCTCCATGTTGAGCCAGTGGCTGCCATCAACAGGTACGACCAGAATCTTGCTGCTGCTACAGATAGTTGGACTGAACAGCAGCAAGCAGAGCACTGTCAGGCTTATAGAGCTAGAAATGGTGGACATTTCCTGGAAGAAACAAGAAAGATGAATTATTAGACCATGTTTTATGCCCTGTTGTGACAAACAAAAGTCAAGCACTTCTAATTTCTGATGATGAATCAAATCTGTGGCACAGGACAGTGTTTCATAGTTGGCAGAAATCAAAACTTAACTAAGTAGTTGTGAAGTAAAAGGAAGTGTTTATTTTCTATGATGGTTCTTTTCTTCCTGCAAGCCTTCACAGACATTTCCAGCATCCCGTCTACTTAAACAGGCCAGTGAACATGTGCACTCTAAATACTACTTCAGGCCTCTGTACATAGGAACAGAAGGAAAAGACAACCAGACACCTTCTGTTCAGGTTCCAAGGAGCTGCTAAGTGTTCAACTTTGGTACTTCGTATATGGCCATGCACTCAGAGTATATCTCATCTTGATAATCTTGAGCAATCATCCACATTTCTAACCCTGTGCTACATTTTAGTCACTGCAACGTAATCTTACACCAAACTTTTGTTATCGGTCGCTGCTTTCTGTCATTTTTAACTGCTGCTTACTTTCACTTTCAGTCACTTTTCTAAATATAGGTATATATGTATATTGTCTGATTTAAAAAAAAGAAAGAAAAGAAACCTTCTAACATTTTGTTTCTATGTAAAATTTTAAAAATAACTGTTATAAACCGGGATCCAATTAGTGGATGCTGATTGATTATTTAATATCTTCAGACTTCATCGGCTCCATGCATAATCACTTAAAAAAAAACTAAAAAACTTTTTTTTCCGGAAATGTTTCTTGGCTAGTACCTAAGTTTTCTACCACATGGAAAACTGCAAAATTGCTAGAGTTACTACAAACTACTCCATCTTCGTTGCTACGGTTACTCCCCTCTTCAAAGCAATCACTACTAGTGAACATAAAATGCATCACCTCTGACACACTCGTGCAGGAATGTCACTGCAAAGACAATTACCAGACATAGACGGAGTTTAAACAGCATTTTTTGAATTCATTGAGCAGGCATGTAGATGTAATAGATGTTCATTTATATATATATTAAAGTCCTGCCTGGCCTTCTCTGGTAGCTATAAAATTATGCAACCTTAATAACTGTTACACAAAAGGCATTTTTTGCCACCAAAGAGTGACAATACACATTGTAGCAGTAGCAATGAAAAAAGAAAGTGAAGAGAAAGATATTGTAGACACATTAGCAGGAGCATGTTTAGTGAAATAATTTAACATCACATGTGTTTTGTGTATTTTTGATTAATGTAATTATTTGTGCATATTATCCTGCTTACTAAGATTGTTTTGTCAAAAGTTATTTAAATACCTCACCTGCCTCTTGTTGTATGAAACTCCAGTGGTTTGGGATCGAGCTCCAGGCTGTGAGTGAATGAGTGAGGACACTAATTCGTAGCTGTTTTCCCCACTGCATTACTTTTACACACACTGATCAAAGTTCAGTCTGTGGGTTTGACACAACCAGCAAAGGTCTGAGGCTTCTGAGAGTAAAGGTTGAGGTTGAGATAATAGATTAGTAATAGATTAGTTACTCTATGTTGTGTGTCTTTTACTTTTTTCCAATCACAAGTGCACTCGTTTAATAGAATTTGTTCAAGATCAAGTAGGTTGGATATACATGGGCGCTGTAAGGCAGTTTTTGGCCTAATCAATTTGTGTGTTTTTTACTCATCCTGCCACTCATTTCCTTGTTTACTACAGCACTCACAAGTCAGTTTCATGTACAGACCTCACATTCTGAGTCTTCAGGGAGAAATATTACAATACAAAAAGTGCATTTTGTGCTTTTGATGAGGAAACTTCAGGTTGAGCAGGGTGAAAAAAAATAAAAAATCAAACTGGAACACAGTCAGAGATTGTGAGATGGGAGCGGCAGGGAAGGAGGGAAGGAGGAAGCGGCAAGGTCACGCCGCGGAGGGAAAATAACGTGAGCGCTGGTGATTACAATAACAGCACGAGTCAATGCTCGACAGCCGTATCAGCGAACCGCAGCCTTCCCCTTTTCTCCTCTGACTCTGTGGAGTTACATAAACCTGACCCAGAGAACCAGACCCAGCTCGTCAACAAACAGCAGACATGCAGCTCTGAACAACGTAAATCCTTTAACGTGAGGATGAAGCCAACACTTGGCTGTATAACTGTTCAGATCAGGGCCTGGGTTTATTGTTAGTTATGAGAATAAACCTCAGAAGAGCAGTCTTGGAAAAAGTAAAGAATAACCCACATGTATGAGCTTGTAGATTCTACTTACAGTGAGGTGTAGCAGTAACCTATAAGAGCTGCGGTCAGGTGATCATGTGATCAGTCACATGGCAGAGCAGGAGTAGCCAATCAGACGCAAGGATGTTTATCTACAGTCAAATCAGTGCATTCTCTCAGTAGAACCCTTAACAAGTCACTCCTTTTAAAGTACATTCTAAGTGTGAACATTCTCCTGCAGTATTTAACACACACACACACACCACACACCACACACACACACACACAGTCAATGAATGTGACCAACAATTGAAATAAAAAAGGAATTATAGTTAACTGGACGAATCAGCAGTTCATCATATATTTGTGTTGCTCATGTTGTGGGGACATACAGAAGAGCCACAACATTGAACCCACTGACAAGTAAAAGGAACAACATTGATTATGTTGCTACAATGGCACTTGTAAAGAGGTGGGATGAATTTGACACCCGGGCAACAGTTGGTTTTTAAAGCTGGTGTGTTGGAAGCAGGAAAATAAGCAGCGTGAAGATCTGAGAAGACTGGGTCAGCACATCTTCAAAACAGCAGGTCTTGTTGAGTGTGTCAGGTATCCAGTGGTTAGTTCATACCAAAAGTTGTACAAGAAAGGGCAACAAGTGATCTTGCGACAGTGTCTTGGCCTCTTCCAGCAGGTTCATGTGTCCTACCACGCTGCGAAATTAGTTTAGGAATGGTTTGAATGTTGACTTCTGCAGATCTCAATTTAATCGAGCATGTGTGGGATGTGTTGTAAAAGCAAGTACCATCCATGGAGGCCGCACTGCACAAGTTAGATAACTTAAAGGACTAATGCCTCTGATATCACAGGACACCTTTAGAGGACTGTTGGAGGCCATGACTTACTGATTTAAAGCTCTTTTGGTGGCACGAGGGGTAGGTTTCTATCGTTATGGCTTATCTGTGTGCATCGTTTAAATCATGTACAAGTCTGCAAAAGATTAATGAAATTGCAACATCAAAACAAAGGATATTGATATAGAAACTGGATATGCTGAAGTGTAAAAGTGCGATATTTTCACTTTCATTTTAAAGCTAAAAAAGCTACAAAAAGACTTCATTCTAATACACATGCTTTATTTTAATATGCTCTTCTGACATTGAAGCTTCCTCTTTTATTGTTGCAACCAGTTTAGCATCATCGCTGCCATGCTGCATTTGTTGGGGGTCTATAAGGCGTGAACTACAACATGCACTCTGGACAGACTTTATAGGTAATTGCAACCTGTTGCAAACCACTTTCAATGTCACCTCTTTTCAGCTCTTGTCTTTTCTCAGAATCATCATGCTAAATTACATCATAAAATACTCAGTTATGTTTTATTTGCTTTTTTTTTTTTTTTTCAAAGTCCAAGTCACAACAGCTTTGTCAAACCATTTAACCAGAATACAGAGAAACATCTTCAGCTCTGTCTAGTGGGCAGTTTTATTATGGCTGAAGTACTTCTTTTTTTTTTTTTCGCAGTGCTTCAGCCCTCTGCTTGACCTGGCCTGAGGTTCTTTTCCAAATTTAGCAGTTCCAAAGTCAACTGAGTACACAGTGATCTCACATTTGTTTGTGGTTTGCAGCACTGACATCAACAATCTCACGATTAGACTCCACATGCATTCGCAGTTACAATCTGTTTAAACATACAGTGTGAGTGTAGTATTTCTGCAAACATGCAACTACTCTACTGCATCTGCCAGAATCTGAAAAGTGAGAGTCCTGCAGAAGAGAGTAGATGTAATATATAAAAAACAAAGATAATATGATGTTTCAGTGTCTTTTCTTGCGGATTTAGATTTTGGTAATATATGTGAACGCTCAGTGTCAGATGTTCCTCTTCATGCACAACCTTTATGTCACACAGGAAACGGTAGAAACTAATCAGAAACTCACTGCGGTTATCATGCCACTATTTCTGGAGCTTGTTTTGTTCAGCAGAAATGATGTGATGATACAACATGTTGCGACTGTCAGGCTTGTTTGGGCTCCATCGAGGGTCTCCCTTTGTAGGTCTTAAAAGCATGACAATCCTCAGCTCGAGAGATCAAAGGAGCATCTTTTCTCAGTGACATGTAGATGCTGATTCACAGTGGACATATGAGGAAGCACATACAGAATCCAAAATGTTGTCCATGTGTTCAAATCTGACATTACTTGCAGTTAATATGTCATGTCACTCTGCCGAACGCTCCACGGTTTTAACTCATTACAGTCCTTGGAAGACAAAACTATAGAAAGAAGGTCAGAGAAGCTGTTTTATTGTTTATTTGAGTACGAAAAGAGCAGAACATGTTAAAGGTTTGAAGAAAGTTGTGTGATGTCAAAACAGAAAGTGTGTATGGTCAGGGTTTGGATTAGGTGAAAGAATTTCTCAAAACTGACAAATCTTCTTGGGTGTAAGGCATGATTTAACGTCCTCTAGCTACATCTTTTTTATTTCTGGTAAAAAAAAACTAAAAAAAAAAACATTTCTATGATTTCTATGATTGACTGACCATTATTTTCTCGAAAAAGTTATTTGAGACTGACTTATGTTTGGATCATTTACTCTGCTTTTGTCTTTCTTCTGGACCTCCGGCAGCAGAGAATCCTACACATAAACACAAAAGCCCAGATGAAGGTGCCAGTTAGTGCCAAGATAAAAGCAACCACATCCAGGCAGAAGTAGGAATACCAAGGCAAACTGAATCCTGCAGACTTCAGGTGGGCTGCTCCTTTGTTTCTGATGACGTACTCAATCCAGAAGATGGCGGTGTCCATAGGAGATACGGGTCTATCGCGGTGTAGCTTGGAGAGACGCTTTATGTTTTCACGGTAAGAGGGAGTCTCAATGACGTCCGTTAGAGCCTCCAGGAAGTTCTCTTTGGTCAGAGATTGGGGCTCCACCATCTGAGCTGCACCACGCGCCTTTAACCGGAATAGATTGTCAAACTGATCAAAGAAGAGGGGCAGGCCCAGAACGGGAACGCCGTGGTAGATGGCCTCATATACGCCATTGGTGCCTCCGTGGGCTACAAAGGCACGAGTCTTGGGGTGTCCCAGGAGATCTTTCTGAGGCAGCCACTTCACCACCAAGGTGTTGTTACCCAGAGATGAAGGTTTTTCACCCTCAAACCTCCAAATCACTTTCTGAGGGAGTTGAGCGAAAGCAGCAGCGATGGCCTCCGTGACTTCTTCAGACAAAGCTGACACCAACGTCCCCACAGACATGATCACTACCCCGTGTTCCCCAGAGCTCTGCACGAATGCTTCCAGATCAGCAGGGAGGGGTTTGGCCTCTTTGCACTGGAACCCTCCTATGTACACCACATTAGGCATGGTGGGCCGAGGGAACTCAAAGACAAAATCTGCCCTCAGCAGCCAGATATCAGCTGAATGCTGCAAGGACAGCAAGTCAGTTCCAGGAGGGAAGTGCCGCTTGAACAGCTCTGAGTAGGAAGGGTTGATGATGAAGTATTGTTCAACAACAGCTTGTATATAATGTAGCATATTCTTGGTCCTTTCCACAAAATCCATCTGATCAGTAAGTTCACTTACTGACACGGGGACATAGGAGACAGGAGAAGGGGCTATGGTAAAATGGCCATCCCCTGAATTAATCCAGCGTGCATTGAAAACCATCGGCAGCTTGAGGTAGCCACCAAGAAGAACCCCTGTGGTCAGACCAGGGTCTGTTAACATCAAGTCAAACTTGGCGTCCTGCAGCTTCTTCATAAAAACCGTGTTATCAAACATTGAAGCAGCCGATCTGGCCAGGACATCATGGCCCTGAGTAAACATGGATGTGATCACATGCCGATTGCAGAAACTGCGTATAAATGTGGGGTACCTGCGACACTGCATAGTGTCTTGTACCAGTTTATTGTAGTAGTCCCTGTCTCGCTCTTCCAGCATGAGTACATCGATAGAAGTATAAATGGAAGAGTTCTTGGGAATGTACCAGCTCTGTGGAGAACGTAGCACTGTGATGTCGTGGCCCCTGGAGTGCAGCTCCTTGAGGATCACCTCCATGTTGAGCCAGTGGCTGCCATCTAGAGGCACTACCAGAATTTTGCTGCTGCTACAGATAGTTGGACTGAGCAGCAGCAAGCAGAGCCCTGCCAGGGTTGCAGAGATTGAAATGGTGGACATTTCCTGGAAGAAACAAGAAAGGTAAGTTACTGGACCCTTCAACTGTGTAATCTTAAGTTGTAGCTGCTTCGTCTTGTGCCTGATTGGGATGAATGGAAGATAGTAGTGCTTCAAATTTGTGTAAACGCAACACAATGTATTGACCGTAGCAGAAACACATAGTGTAGCAAAGATGTTAAAAAGAAGCATGAAGTTCATTTTCTATGAGACAGAAATGAACAGCTTTGGAAGGCATTGTGTTATTTCAGGCGGCATGGGACTGAGGTGCAAAATGGAACAAAGGGAATGGTCAAAAATGTTTGCCTGTCAGCTCTGGACTAATTCACCTAAAAATGGAGAAAGTCATTTAGGGTTTTTGAGCCCCCCCCAAAAAAAACATATATCCATAAACTAAACTGCATTCTCATTTATGTCTTGAGCAAAACATATTCTCTCCGAGGTTATGATCTTGGGTATTCTTATGATCTTGGTTATCTTGGGTATTTGTTGTGTTGTTGTCCTTCCATGGATTGTATAAAAAGATACACAGGGCCCTTTTGACGTTGCCCACTGGTTTTCTGAAAAGCGCTTTTGAGGCTCAGTGTTGTGGCCCTGGCTGTTGATTTATTGCAAGTGTATGACTTTGTCTAACTGTCAGCTAATCCAAAAATGAGCAAAGGAGTGGACCTTAGGTAGGCCTTGCTCACATCCCTGTGCAAGGGATTGCTTTATGATGACCCATTTTTTTCACTCAGTGCAACCAGGCCCTTAACTTTCCATACCTTCAAGCCTTAACACAGTTGAAACAGAAATCTTTTATTTGCACCAGGCTGTTAACATGTTTGTTTCTGCTGTAGAGCTAAGAATTTCAACATGAGAGTTTAGGGGGTTTGGACCACTTTCACAGTCTGTCTCAAGTGGCCATTCAAGGAACTGCACGTCCATGTTTGCCTCATTTTTCCGCCATGAAGGTTGTTTCCAAACTGATAATGTTCTCTGCCAACCAATCATATATCAGTTGGGATAATAGTCATCACTCTAGTAGCTCAGAAAATAGAGAAAAAGCACAAGCAAGAGTGGCTGTTCACACATTAAACCATTCCTCTGCTTGGAAATAAGCTCCAGCATAAAGGGTAGTTAGTTACTGCTGTAGATTAGACGTTTTATATTTATATCATTCCATTCAAAATGAAGCAAACACCTCACCTGCTTCTGATAAGATCAAAATCCAGCAGTTTGACTTGAGTCCACGTTCTGAGTAGGTCAGGAAACAATGAAATATCTGTTTCCACACAACATAACTCTCATACACACAGGTTGAAGTCCAGCATGTGAGATTAGCCATGCCTCACAAAGGGATGAGTCTTTAGCTCTAGAGCAAAGGTTAAAGACCAGTGAAACATGAAACGCTCCCGTGAAAACATGAACTAATGTACACTGTAAATCAGACAGCAAATACTAGCATTTAACAACAATTCGTGAGCAAATGCTGATGTTACGGAATGTGATGGAAATTTTCTACTTTCTAAACATTCTGCAACCTTTGAAAACAATGGTGATGGTCATATTTTTATAATAGATATGGATTGGTCCTCACACTGGAAAAGCTTTAATGTATAAGCAAGAACATTAGATATGCCATAATTGTGTCTTTATTGTCCTTCCAGCCACACAGAGCCAGAACAAGAAGACGTGAATAGCTGCTAGATTGCATGTTTTTGCCAAATGAATGTCTTTTCTAGACAAAGTTCCTCATCATTCCGTCATTACTCATTTCCTTCATCGTTCCAGTTTTTACCAATTATTCGCATTTTACTGTATTTCAGCGCTCACGAGTCAGTTTCAGGCTCAGAATCTTGACTCAAACACTAAATGCGTTTCATGCTTTTGATGCAGAAACTTCAGGCTGAACAGGAGAAACAAAAAATCCAAACTGGAACACAGTCAGAGAGTGTGAGGTGGGAGCGGCAGGGAACGAGGGAAGGAGGAAGCGGCAAGGTCACACCGCGGAGGGAAAATAACGCGAGCGCTGGTGATTACAATAACAGCACGAGTCAATGCTCGACAGCCGTATCAGTGAACCGCAGCCTTTCCCTCCTCTCCTCTGCCTCTGTGGAGTTACATAAACCAGAGCCAGGGAACGAGACCCAGCTCAACACAACGGCAGCTCAGAGATCGTGGCTCTGAGGACTTAACAAAGAACACGGATCCTTTAATGTGAGGATAGAGCCAACGCTGTTTTACTGTGCAGATCAGTGCCTGGGTTTATTGTTAGTAAGAATGAACCACCTTTACAAGCCTGTAAATTCTACTTACAGAGAAGCTGAAGAGCTGCTGTGAGTTTCTCATATGATCAGTCACATGGAGAAAGAATGGCCAATCAGACGCGAGGATTTTATCTACAGTTCACTATCACACATACTACTAACAGAGGTAGAGAAGTATTTAGATCATTTAGTTAGATAAAAGTACCATTACAACAATATGAAAATATTCTACTGCAAGTGAAAGTCCTGCATGAGAAATCCTACCTAAGTACATAAATATAAAAGGAAAAGTTCTTCTTTGGTCCATCTGACTGATATATTATCATATATGATATTGATAAATTATTAATCGTGAAGCATGAGTGTGTCAGCAGCATGGTAATGATGTAGCTGCTGCAGGTGGAGCTGGTTTCATACAGTTTTATGTAAAGGGACAGCAGATGAAGCTTAGTGGCTGTCAGATGATTAATGTGAGAATAAGAAAAAGATTATAAAAAACTTCAAAAATGTTCTTAAAACTTTAGATTTTCAGTGACATTGTTACGATCCAGCCTCTAGGGTCAGCTGGATGCAACAAAAACAGATGGAAATGGTTCAAGTAATGCAATTTATTGCTCAGTAATGTAAATGAACACAACAGAACGGTGACAATACAAAAGAAGATGTGGATGTTGCTAAAAATGAACGAGCCAAACATAACCAAATGAAGGCAAACAGAGTATTGAAGCTAGCAAATAAAACTGAACTCTTTAGACAAACTTTAAATCTAATAGCAACATCCAGACATAGCAAAAGAAACTTAAACAAACTAGTGCCTCAAAATACAAGACTCAAGTAATTTCTTCACCAAGTTGCACAGCTGCTATCGGGAGTCAGTCTTTACTAAGACGCTCACGAAACTCCCACACCGAGTTAGCAGCTGCCAACAGAAGTTACATTAACACAAAGAGACAGACCGAGAGGCACCAGGGCGAACTGTTCACATTAAATTCCAGCCAGCCCCAAGCTGGTCGCTTTTATATCCAGGTGTGGTGACTGCTGGGGTGGAGGAGGAGGAGCGGTGGTGGTCCAATCCGATGTGACCGGAGGCGGGAGAACAAGGGCCAGAGTGCAGGTCTTCAGCTTCAGGCTAAGTAGCTGAGATGACTGGCAGCTGGTGTCCTGGATCGAGCTTTCAGTCCACATGACCAAAACGGCACCAACACCATGGGCTGTAACAGACATGTTGGATCAGTTTAACATTTATTGAAATGAAATCATGTGAGAGTTTTAGAGGCATCTGTAATGTGACGAAGACAGAAAGCTTGGAAATCACTGGTTTAATATTTAACCATGTATCCTAAAAGCTTGTTCAATTATACATTGATAACATTAATAGTAACTGAAACTGTCAGATACATGTAGTGGAACAGAAAGTACAATATATTCCTCTAAAGCAGAGTGGAGTGGAAGTATAAAGTAGTTTAACACCACTGACTACCAAGCATTTAAACATATTACTCTAGAGCTCTTAACTTTTTTGCAAAATATAGTTATTTATTCAAACAAGATGACAGCTAGAGCAGATTTCTTTGAGTTTATTGGAGTGTTTTCAACTTGTATTTATATATGAACCCAGACATCACAAAACAAATCAGCTGACCAAACAGCCTGAGTAGCCAAATGAAGCCCTCACCAAAAACAAACCGAGGGCCCCTTATTTATCAAGCCAAGGAAGACTGCTGACATTTTGCATATAACTAAAAATAGTCCCACTCAGAGCGGGACAGAGGAGCTATTTGTGAAGCTTCCTACACACCCTCTCAACAAGGAATCAAATGTTTTATTAAAGAAAAGAAAAGAAAAGAAAGAAAGAGAGAGAGAAAGGGTGAGCATAATCATGACATGTTTTAGCTATTAATGGAAGTTACGCACATTTTAAAGGCTCAGAGATGGTTTGATGCAGATATAACGCCGCATCGGGCAAGAAGTCTTAAAATTTAGGCCCTAACACCTGGTGAAGGTCGACGTTTTAAGGTAAATTTCAAGCTTATCCAGCCATGACTAATGCAAAGATATTGCAAGTTTTTTATGACAAAAGTTGTACGAGGCCCCAATTATATTGTGGCAATATATATTTTTGTACATCTTATATCTAAAGAACAGCTCTCACTTGTGTTAGTCTACCTATGCGCTTGTTTGTCTTCCCACAAACTAACTCTTAACAAGTTAGAACAAACCTGTTGATGTCTAGCAGCGTGGAGGAGATAGGATAACATTCTTTGGTAGGGAAAGTTGATAAAAATCCCTTTCCGTTGAAACCTAAAATATCCAAACTAGCATCGCTATGAAAATACTTTGCATTTCTAGACTGATTTTCGTGATTAGATGTTATATTTGCAGTTTTGCACTTTGGATTGCATGATGCCATGAAAACAGATATAGAACCCAAAGACAAAAATAAACCAGCAGGAGTAAGTTAGAAGAGGAGGGAGTTTGAAGATCCAGACTCCAGACTGGGTGGTCCGTATGTTTTCACAGCCAGCGCCTGGTTGCATCTTTTGACCTCCCCTGGCCACTTGGCACCATGAGCAGACGGTGCAGATGTTGGAGGTAGATGCAGACAGCTGCCATGTCTAACTGAGACACACAGAATGGAAAGAAAGTAACAGCTGGGGGGAAAAAAGAAAGGAGTGAGACATCTAGCGTCACTTTTTCTGACCTCATGAGGACGTTGTTGCAGCATCTGGAAGCTGAGCTGCAGCACATCCAGCAGGGGAAACCGAACTCCGAAGAAGGAAGAGAAGCAACCGTGATCAGAGTTCAGATGGTTGTGCACTGATAACAGGGTTTATCTCAAAGGGGCAGTAACAGGTCCGTTATCGTTTAAAGGGGTTGACGTGGGTCGTACAGTTTGGTTAAATAACTCTGATTGATAGCTAGAAGGCTCTAAATTAATTCTACATATAAAAGGATGAAAAATTGCAACGACTGTTAATGACATTTTACTCATTCCTGACTTCCTGTGCCTGTACCTTTATGTAACTGTCATATGCACCAGTGGAAGGCAAGGTAAAATTAAAACAAACAACATGTTGCATCACAGCCACAGGTGCTCCAATCTTCAGCCTGGATAGCGATCGCACTTTGAAACCGATGCTGCTAAAAACACATCCGTTGCCATGGCGATTACTCAAATAAGGAAAGGCCTGAAAATAAAAAAAACAACCATCCCTATTTTTCTCACGGGACTCCTTCTACATTCATTGCACCTTTTCAGAGTTGACCTCAAACAAAGCTCCTGAGGCGCTCGCTCGGTTCCGAACCTTTCCTTCCTCCAATTGTTGTGCGTCAAGACACGGCTCATTTGAATCCTTATGACAGCAGCGTTCACAGCAGTCACTTGGTGATAGTTGTTTACTATTAATCCGAACATTTTTTCTTTTTCTTTTTTTTTGCAGGAACTTCACACAACCCTGAAGTTTAATGTTAATGTCAGGTCTTCCTGTTGCATGCTCCCGTGTTTCCTTTGTAATGTTGCCTGAGGTTAAAGCTTCTGCACAGAAAACCAGTTTGACCACATGGAGCACACGGACGAATCTGCAACGATTTGAACTTGGCTTGTGTGACGTTTATTATGCAGATCTTTACACGGGCTTTGAGGTATAAGAGTTTTATTGCACTTATAAATACAGAATACTTGCATATGAATAGATATTAGAAGCAAATGGCGATAGAATGAGGTAAAATGTTAATTACTTAGCAACATTAAAATGTGTAATTCGCAACTAACAACTCTTATTACCATTCATGCAAGAGATTTTTGCACATGAGTTTCAGGACTACACATTTTTGGTGACATATCAAGTTTAATGAAGTCCTTTTGTAGATAAAAGTATGACAACAAATCAATCCAAAGGAACATATAAGATAAAAGAGAGAAAAAAAAATGAAATAACATGTCTAATTAAACTGTAGAGGGAATAAAATGTTGGTTTAAAATAGAAGAATCAGCATCATCAGTACACCAATGTGTCTCCCTGGCTAGCTCTCATTAGTGGATGTCACAGAGGCCAAGTGTCTGCTTATCTCCGCTTTCTGTTATTGAGTGATGCATCATTTACAGCCGTCATGTTCTGATCTGCAATCAGCCGCTCGGTGACATTCCTGATACAGATCAGAAGTCAGTCTTGTATGAATGGCCCTCGCTGATGACGAAGACGGGTCCCCAGTGACGTCTGTTTCACCAGCGATGAGGCGGTGGCGAACCCCGCCTTCTCTGGTCTTATTTGGGGTTCATGTTGACGAACAGGATGGGGTTCGCCCTGGTTTTGATCTCTCTTGCTATCTGGCACCAGGTGCAGGAGTAGCAGCACCAGGTGTAGCAGCAGTCTTTGCAGATGGTCCCCTGTGAAGACAGAAAGGTGATAAGAAACTTCCACCTGAAAACAAAAACTCCCCGAATTCAGTCAGTAACAACTGCAAAGCTGTGAAGTGATATTTATAACAGCAATAAACCTCATTACTACAATGTAAAACGTGTATTTGAGCTGTTGTTGAAGTAAAGTACTGATTTAAAGAAGTCTCTTTCTGCTTTGCTGAGGGCAGCTGACTTTAGGTATTACCTTAAAATTACACTTTGTCCCTTTACAATGATAATTAACTGAGTAAAAAATTATCTTTACTACTTCATTAGCAAATTTTTCTGCTCCAAACTAACCGCCATTATCTGTAATCCACAATGATTACAAAGGAAAGAACGATGAGTTTAATGACATCATGTTACGCTTAGATAAAGTGAATAATTCAGTTGGGAAAATAAGAAATGTCAAGTTCACTTTAGTTAACATCAAGTTGCGTCAATGCTCATTTGAGAGCAATCGCATTATTTAACTTGACTTAGTGGCATTAATATCACTTCTTAACTTAATTTGGTTAAACTTAATTAGGTTATGTGTTACCAGTTGAAGAAATTCATTAAAGTTTTATCCAACATTTCTCTTTTTATTAGCGTATAGAACCTGTCTATAACCAGCCAGTGTAATTCTACAGTAATGTGTTCCCTGCTGTTTTAAACTAACTGTAAATGGGCGATCGCTGTGGCAGGTGAATCATGAGTTGCAGGGTGTGGATAAATTTAACTATATTTTTAGGGAGCATTGGTTTGACTTTGGTTATATTTCTGATTCGTAAATAGCAGGATTGAACAAGAGTGATTGCAGTTGAGAACAACCTTGGCCCCTACTGATGAGAAACACTTTGGTGAATTTTGAAACACACAAAGTCTCCTTATCAAACCAAACTATGGTGAGATCTGGAAAAACTTCAACAAAAATGGACATTTGTACTTCCTCCTAATGACAGCTGGAAATTAGAGAGCGAGTCAATGAAGCTGAGGTGATTAAAACTGTTTTAAATCTTCTCAAAGTGCAATTCTACCAAATTTGATAGAACAGGAATGAAGCACAACAAATTCTTTTTTAATCACAGTAGGTGGCGTCTTCAGCCTTAAAAAAATGGAGCTGGTTGTGTGTTTTTTTTTTTATAACAGATACAGTCCCAGTACAAGTTTTCATGCAAAATAGATGAAATGCATGACATAAAGCTGTAAAAGTTATATAACACAGCTGACTGTTCAGCCACAGTCATTAATCACTGTTAAAATCTTCTAAACGCATCATCTGGAACAAAGGAAAACAGTGTGCCACGGTACATGAATTGCTGGATGTTGTCTGGGAATGTAATAGAGGCTGCAGTGAAAAGCCGAACAGGTTTGAGATTGATCAGAGATCAGATAAACAGTGAAGGGAACAGTGACCTCTATGCTGGTTAACTAAGTGGTGACGCAGTTGATGTGCGATTTATTGGCACGAAGGCGCCTCGGTAATGATAAAGTGGCTCAGTACCTCGATGCCGTATCGCTGGCGCACTGAAACCCTCATGGATGTGGTTATGGGGGGGATGAGTCCAAAACCGTCCAGCAGAGGTAAACACACACACTCCCCGGCCTTGTGCGATGTCACGCAGGTGAAGCAGGGAAAGCACCAAAACGCCAGGCAGCCTGAAAGAAGACACAGTAGTAAGACTTCACTGCTGGAAAACTTAGAGTTTTTAGATTTGATCTTTTGCATTATCTCAGGATGCCGCTGGTTTGCACTACACCCAGATACATGGCTATCTGCTGTCCTTTGCATTCTTCAGCCCAGATCAGCCCGAGTGATCAGCTCCGGGCACGTGAGACAGATTCAGACGGCCAAGTCTTGTCTCCACAAATGTGCAGAGAATTGCAGCCTTTTGTGTCTCTAATCAACAGGCACTTTGTAAAAAAAATCTGTTTGTCTGCTTTGTTAAGACATGGAGCTGCACTTACATGTGGGCAGGTCTTCGAAGCAATCACAGATGCCAGATGTCCAGTCGTTGGACGTCGTGCTCGTGATGTACGGCCTGGGTTGGTTTGAAACCGTGTCGGGCATGGCTTCAGCTTCTGATGAACAACTGCCACAAACAAACAAACAAACAGTAACAGTCATGACAACACTTCACTGTAAAACAAATGAACATAAATCAGTAAAAAATAAATAAATAAATAAAAATAATAATAAATAAATAAATATTGGTGTTGCAAATCCAAATCTAGAAGCAGGAAAAATATGTAAGAAAGAAGGAAAAAAAGTCACAATACTTTTAATTAGTTAATTTTTTTTTAACAACTTTAAATTAAGTAAAATTGTGTGATTTTACAGTCACACATTGTGATGGTATTTATTGTACAAACATTTTTAGGGCCTGTTTTTTGTGTGCTTTGTTTTTCAACAGTAAAAGTGTAAATTCATTTTTTTTTTCTATTTGATTTTGACTTGATCTGCAATTTAACAAAACTGTAAAAATCTGTCAAATAGTTTTAAAATATTTATTTTTCTATTCTGATTTAATAACCTTGTTCTCTTTATTTACACATGTTTTTTTTTAACTTTTTTTTTACAGGGAAATCTTTAAAATGACAAGAAAAATGACATTTTACACCTTTTTTGTTAATAAATTTTTTTTTACAGTATGCTGAAAATGCAAAATTTTGACCACTTGAGGATGACAAAGTAGGAAAAAAAGGAAAGAAGTATATTCTCTTATATTAAATTTGAAAAATGTAAGAATGTCAAGGTGTGTGTTTGTGTTTGTTTGTCTTTTCACAGGCACTAAATATAACAGTTATAAAATCACAAGGAACTGCAAATGCATTTGTTGACTTTAAGACCATTTGTATACGCTGATTAATATAAGTTTTGTCTCTTCATAATAGTGGAGCCTAAATGAGGATCAAACCCATTATGTCAGCTACATTTCTGCTTCTGTGTCCTGGTGCAGTTCAGCTTTCTGTGAGCTTGTGCCAGTGATGGAATTGTCATTTCTGTGGGATGTAAAATCAGCAGCTGCTCTGCCGGGGTGGCTACATTTTGGAGCCATGTTGCATGAGCCAGAATTTAACCCTCAGCTGGGCGCCAGATCAAGTTTGGCTCATCCGTGAATAGATTTCAAATTTTAAATCCTTTACAGGATCCTTCAAAAAATTTGATACACAGTCAGAAGCATTTACCAAACTGTACTGTACTCATTACAATAGAATGAAACTGTCATTACGGCCCGAACGCTTTGATTCTTCACTTCTTCATCACTAAAAATCTGAATTCTGTCTGTCTCTCTGATTGTCTTACCTTACTGTGGAGACGCAGCAGAGTTCCAACACCTGAATGACTGATGGAGTTCCAGGCTAATTTATAGAGCTGCTGTAAAGCAACAGACGTGACAGGACAGAAGAGGATGCATGCAACCAACTGGTCCGTCCAGTCGGACTTGTGTCAGCGCCGTAGACATCAGACCATCTGACCCTCATGCATCCTTTTAAATCTCAGACGTCATTGTGCTTAAAAATTGCCACATTTCAACTACTAGTCAGTTCTTAGTCGTACATATGTGATAAGAAGGGTAGAAAATGTCCCGCACCGCAGCGACACGTGGGTCCGTGCACTTGTTTGCATATTGCAAAGCTCTTGGTCCCATTTGCTAGGAAGTTGTGCATTCTGCCATTTCCTTGTATTGTTCAGACGTTAGCATTGCAGTGCTTAATCATTTTATTAGAATTCATTCAAACAGTTCAAAACTAAATATTTGGATCAAAATGCCACTTGAAATCCCAGAGAGGCCCAATGGACGGGGATGTGGGCAGGAATGATAGCATGCACTGAATGGAATGTATTCAGTGTGAGCAACTGGAAGGTGAACAGAAATAAAATCTGTGTTTTGACAAGTGACATCAGAATGAGAGGATCCTTTTACTGATTTCTAGCAAATAATCCTTATCATGTTTAGACTTTATCACTCAAATGAGCTACAACAGGAATTTAAAACAAAAACAACAATGTATCACTTCAACTGTAGTATCTTGGAATTCGTGTTTAATTGTCAAATCAGGGGCTGCAAGGTGGAGCAGTGGTTAGCACTGTTGCCTCGCAGCAAGAAGGTGGCTGATTCATGTCCCGGTAAGGACACCCAGGATCTTTCTGCGTGGAGTTTGCATGTTCTCCCCGTGCAGCGTGGGTTCTCTCCGGGTTCTCCAGCTTCCTCCCACACAGTCCAAAAACATGTTGAGGTTAATTGGTGATTCTAAATTGTCTGTAGGTGTGAATGTGAGTGTGCTTGGTTGTCTGTCTCTAAGTGTAGCCCTGTGATAGACTGGTGACCTGTCCAGGGTGTCCCCTGCCTTCACCCTGAGTCAGCTGGGATAGACTCCAGCCTCCCATGACCCTAATGAGGATGGATGAATGGTCAAATCAGTTGCTGAGGTAAAAGCTATTGTGTTCCCTTTCTTTATTATAAAAAGACAAGCTTTTAAGATAAGAGAAAAACAACAACTACGCAGTCACGAATGATAATTTTTAAAGCTTAATCTCCCTAAAACTCCTCTCTGTGTGTCAAAGTTACACATTTTGAAGAGTTTTTTCCATAAAAATAATACCTTTCTGCCTTAAAATGGTCCAGATGTAAATACATTATTGTTATTTTGTGCATGATAAATCCTTTAAAACACCACATGGATGTATTAACAAGGTAAAAAAAACAGTTTTCATCAGAGGGAGTCTTTAAAACATGAATGAAACCTCACATGCAAGGGAAATATTCAGATTCGTTTTAATGACGACTGTACTTTTACCATGTTCGAATGTCATTATCTGTTTATCTAAGATAACAGTTGCAACCTGGTTTAACATTGTCCCTCTCTATAACATTCCTGTCATTTGTGCATGTAGGGATTCATGAATGCATCATTTTCTGCGTTTTATTTCTGCATTTATTGGAAACAAACATCCTCAGTGTTGCTTTAACTTTACTAAAGAATGCAGCAGTGGGAGAAGCAAAATTTAGATTCACTAAAAGTACTAATACATCAATATACATTAAAAAAAATACTCTATTATATGTAAAAGTTCTGTTTTCAAAGCCCTACTGTATTCACCTACTTCAGATATTAGGTAGTTTGATTAGAAGAGGGAACAATTAAAAAAACAAAACAAACAAAAAAAACACAATTATGCAGACGATTATCTATTTTTTACTTTAAAAAAAAAACTTATTTTAGTGATTTTGGATCACACTTATAAAAAAAAACATCCTCTATGGAGCTGAAACTGAGTCACATTCCACCACTGAAAGAATATAATCCAGTCCTCAAAAGAACAAGACCTCAGCTTCTAACCTTGAAATAGCTTTTATCACAGTTCTTTCTCTTCATCTGGGGACAAAGTGAACTTTCCTCTCTTCGCGACGCATTGTGTCCCCGCTCGGTCCCTCTGAGGTAACTGGGAGTGGCTGCGGACCGGAGGAAGTGTGATTAAATCAACTCCTGTACTCTGGAGGACAGGGCTGCATGAGAAAACCATAAGTCCTGGATGTGTCTAGACCAAGTGCGCCCCCTGCAGGGAGGTCAGAGCGCTGTATCTGGCCAGGGAGGAGGAGGAGGAGGAGGAGGCGTGGGATGCTGCTCTTCTCTTCAGCTCTCTGGAGATCTGGAGCCAAGATAGCGGATAGCAGCAGCATCCATACAGGCAGTCGCTCCACACACTCCCCTGTAGGACACACACAGAGAAAAAAAGGCCTGAACGCAGGTGGGAGGCTCGAACAAAAGGTGAACATTTGCATTTAGGTGCAAAAAGGTTTTTTACTGATATATAATGCAGCAGAGCAGAGCTTCATTTGTCCGTTATGAGCTCAAACTGACATCCTTCCTACTTCACAGCATCACTGAGAGTTAAACTATAACTGAGCATCAAATCTGTTGTAGTTTTATCACATTTCTCTGTGATAAATGCAAGAACACACACTGCAGAAGTGTGCAACAATGCTTGAAGTGTTGTTGTCGGTGTAACAGCACAAATCCTGCTCTTCTGTTTCGGTAGAATCCTCCCTCAGAGGGCAGCGAGTTTCTTGCAGCCAAGTGTTTGCTCATAGCAACAGAACAAGGGCTTGTCAGTAATGTCATGATGAGAATGTTGGTGGGTGAGATTTGATAAATCAATAAAGTCTGAAAGACACAGCAACAAGGCCGATGCTTCCATGTGCAGCTTCTGATTTCTCTCCTGAGTCAGCACGGCAGTTTAGAGCCCAATGAAGGTTTAATTCTTTACCAAATATTGTACTCACAAAATATTAACTTCTGAATTTGCTTGATGTTTATGCAGTTGGGAAAATTTGACATCTGACAATCAGCTTGTGGATTCTGATGCAGCTGTTTTTTAAATGCTGGTGATGCAAAAGCAGCGATCATCTTAAACTTTCCCTCTTCGGCGACACACCTGGGATCTGTTCACTTTCTCTCCACTGCACCGCCTCCCCTGTGAATTCAGTGTGGGAGGGCGACAATAGCAACTACAATCATCAGTCCTCCTTCAAATGTCATTACAGGCTCGGTGATGTGTATGTAACATGCAGCGTTCAGATTGGAAGTCTGCACGTGCAGTAAAGATAAACAGAAACACATTGTTTCTCAGCTTTGAGATTCCAGACAGGCCGACGAAATTAATCAAAAAGCAATTTAAGGGGTGCCGCTATAGCTCACCTGGTTGAGCTGGCGTCCCATGTGTAGGGCTACAGTCTCAATGTGGAGGTCATTAGTTTGAATCCCGCTCATGGCCCTTTCCCACATGTCCTCCCCCCATTCTTTTCCCCTACTTTCCTGTCTCTCTCTCACTAACACGATCCAATAAAGGCACAAAGGCCAAAAAAATAACAATTTAAGAAGAAAAAATTAAGAGGTGACTGCTGATCCATAAGGCTGTTCTATAGGAACAGCAGCCTTTGAGCTAAATGCTAACATTAGCATCTAGATGTTTATGCAACTGAAGTAAATGCAAAATAATTTCTGCATTATTTCCAAGTTGACAAGTAGACTAAAATCTCTGATAAAAAAAAACAAAGAGCAAATATTTTGACTATATTGAAACTAGAATGTGCAATTCCTGGAAAAGTTGTAAGTATGATTGCAAAAGGCTGCAGTAGCTGCTAAAGCTTGTACAGGTGAACACATGTTCAGAATTTGGTGTCAACTCTGCAGCCTTCTGATCACAATGCATCTGACAAACAGAAGGCACGTCAAGTTTATACAGTTTTATAGTGGTGGTCGTTGTCAGTATGAACTCAACATTGCAGCTGCACTTCAATCCGCAACAACAGTGACAACACTTAAGATCACTGACACACAAGTTGATCCCTGAAAGAGAACTGAGTACATCTGTGACTTCCAATCAGCCTGACTGCAGGAACATGGTTATAAAATGATGCACTAACACCAAAACTTTCCCAGTTTTGGGGTTGTGTCTACTTGCATGTCTGCATCACACAGAAAGCAGTTGCCAGAGGAACTGAAAATGAGTCCTCTTGACTATTGTCAGCTGGGATTTTTCTCTATGTGTCCACTTGTGGCTCTATAAAGTTTTGAAGGAGCAGCCAGTTCACACAGCAAAAGAACTTCTTGTGCTTCTCCTTTTATTCTCAAACGGGACAGAATGCATTGATTTGCTGCTTTTTTCTCCTGTTCAAAAGAAACAAGTCAGGATTCAGGAATCTCCAAATATGATGATTTTTTTTTATGACAGAAAGAAAATACTATTGTGAGCAGCAAAAATGTTGTTGTTTAATTTTATTTTTTTAGTCCAATCAATAATTATTGGTAATCAAAAGTCTATTGATTTTGGTGATTCTCAAAGTCTACTGACTTTGAGAAAATTTTGAGGCACTTCTTCCAAGAAATCCAACTAGATCCATGCTGATAGCACAGCTAAAAAAGAAAATGTTACTTTAACTTTAAAGATCTCTCTTCTTGGGAAGGTGTTTCACCGTATTGCTGGAAAAGACACGGCTGATTATTTCCACTATGGAGCTACAGTCCAACAAGGATCAAAATCATTCAGATTTCCAGATTCTCCTACATCAGGGGTGTCCAATCCTGGTCCTCGAGGGCCACAATCCTGCATGTTTTAGATGTTTCCTTCTTCAACACACCTGATTCAAAAGATCAGGATGGTTATCAGGCTTCTGCAGAGCTTGATGATGAGCTGATCATTTGAATCAGGTGTGTTGGAAGAGGGAAACATCTAAAACATGCAGGACTGTGGCCCTCGAGGACCAGGATTGGAGACCCCTGTCCTACATAATGAACCAAAGGAACTAATCCTGTCAACTTGCAGGGTGGCAATCAACCGTTTTTGTATCATCATTCTTACTCAGAATCAGTTTCTTGGCTAAATTACTCCAATATTAAAAGTTGGCATTGTGTAGCATAGAGTAGTTCACAGTTTGAGCAGACTTCTAGGTGAGCTGGTGTGTTCCAGCTGCAGTGAACAACAGTGCAGAGTTATATCTGAGCCATTTTTATGAGAAAAACGTCTGAAGATGTAGCATTAATACACGAAGATGAGTACTTTGAGGTTTAAACAATGAGCGGAAAGAGGCTTTAAGGAAGCAAGAAATGTCCAAACAAAAACATGGATTATTCACACAGAGGCGATCCAGAGCTCCTCATCTAATCTGTACAGATCTACCACTTCTCACGATACACACCGTCAGCTTTGTCCTTCCACTCGTGAGAGAGTATTTGTTTCACAAACAACCTACATGCTGGGACTTGTTTCTTTTTTTTTGTGTTGTTTTTTTTTTTTTTTTTTCTAAGAACTTCTGGCATCTTCGCCGCTCATGCTCGGCTGTACTGACAGCGATCCGCGGCCCACTCCACCTCCAGAGAAAGCCAACATTACCAACCACCTCCTTCTCTCCGATGGCAGCGCTCCAGCCTCCTGCCTGCCTGCCTGCCTGCCTGGCCTCCAACCACTCCCACCTCCTGCCTTATCTCTCCTTGTCTTCACTGTCCCAGAAACGAGCGACCGGGCTTATCCGGCATCAAACTCACACCTCGTTCCCGGAATGTGCTCTTTTTCATGTGAAACATCTGTTGAGCACCGATCGGTGACGAAGGACCCGATGTCTATCGAGGAGTGCGGTCACGCCTGCAGGTGCATGAGCGTTGGATAAACAGTGCAGCAGGGAAGCAGTGGGTGGGCAGCTTGAGCAGTTAGTTGTTTATTCATTGGTTTATTTATAACTGGAGTGAAGACTTATTAATTTAATAAATGTGTCCTGATTTCATCCTTGGCGTGTATCTAATGTCACCTCATGGACTCCAAACATTGTTTGCGTTGCTGAAGTAATAACTGCTGTCATTAGTTGTACCCGCCGACGCTGCAGCTATTTCCACTGTGCACCGTTATCAGGTCTCATCACTGAGACGTCTCCATCTCCTCGGCAGCAATCCTAATTATTCAGATCAGCGGCAGCTCTGTGTAATTGAGCTGGGGACACGGCGAGGTACGCTAGAAAGCAATCAGCTGAACCGTTCGAGCCGGTGTTTATCACGACATCACGACCACAGGGGGCCGCTCAGCTCGACTGGAAGAATTCAATCAGTGCTGTTTAGAGTGAAGTTTTGCTCTTGTGTTCCTGCAACCAAATCCTGCGAAGAAGACTTGATGTCTACTAAAGCTGTCAGCTGTAAGCTACCAAATGTTAGTCGAGACTGGGATTATGGTGCAAAAATGATCCAAAACCTGCAACAGTTTTAAAATCATGCACTGTTTTCTGACGTTCCCTCTCAACAGCATTATCACCTGTGCATCTATACATCCCTGTGGTCTTGCATACGTTAAGGAAAACCTCCAGGAAACAAAGAATGAATAAAAGCACAATATGTAGAAACTATCTCAGCTATCTCATAAACAATGTGAGGCCGACTGGATCTACATCCTCTGCCTTAATGAACTACTTCTTAACATTTCCCTGTAGTTTGTCACATTTGTAAATAAGGACTTGGGTAGATTAATGCTATTTTACTATGTGTCCCTCTCCTCTTTGGTGCACATATTGATCTGTCTGTATAGATTTAGAGGGCCAAAGGTGCCAGCAGAAAATATCATATGCACCCAAACTGTATGAAAAACTTGAAAAATTTGGCCTGATTTTATGAGTTTTTATCTGTATTTTAACAAAACAAACTAAGGGAAATATGTAAAATGACAATTTATTTTTTACAAATGTTCATCCTTCATATAAATATTGGTAAAATATCTGTAAAACAATTATATCTGTGGTTAATTTAAATGCAGTAAAATACAGTGAAACACTATAAAGCAAGAAATCTCTGTGAAATTATGATTTTCTTACAGTTAATGTGTAAATGAAAAATTCTTTTTTGTGATTACATGAGTTAATATCTGTAATTTTGAAAACTGGGAAAACTAAAATGCTTTTATTTTTTTCATTTCAGACAGTGTACTGCAGCCTCTGTGGCATCAGATAAGTCAACTTTTGCTGAAGTTTGAAGATATCGCCCTCTAAAAAACATGAACCTATGCAGGTAAATGAAAATTTTTGATCAAATATGTTCATTTCTAATTGAAATCGTGAGTGTGATCCAACTGAAAAGTACATAAAGGCACCAATAAATCGTGTAAAATCTGTAAAAGTACCATCTGTGCTGTGTTACAGTACCTGTATGCCGTATCGCTCCCTGACAGAAGCCCTCATGGCCAGAGAGGCTGGTGTGACGCAACCAATACAGTCCAGCAAAGGCAGGCAGGGACACACACCCACGGCACTGGTCACCTTACAGGTGAACACTGGGAGGCAGCACAGGGCAAAACAGCCTGCACACATAAAGAAACATGACAGCTAATGTAAGAGCCATTCTTACAACTGTCCAACATTTGCAGCTGTCACTAAGTTGGTTAAAGTGGATCAGATGTGATGTAAAGCCATTCATGATGTCTCACATTGGACACTTACAGTCTCCTATGTCTTTGTAGCACTCACACAGACCAGTGCTCCACTGTCCGGCCTCCTGAACCCGGCTCTCCGGCTGAACCTGGACCACCTGTTGGTACATAACTGAGCTGCCCAGCCGTGATGATAAAAGAAAGTTAGGATTAAAACATAATCAAATGAAAAATTAGCTGTCATCTTATTTGTTTTTCCTTGTGAAGGCTTGTGATGCTCTTCACATGTTCAAATAAAACATGTTTTAGTTTGTGAACAATTAGGCCTCCAACCCAGACCTGGCACCCCTCAAAGTTTCTATTTCAAATAATGTTACTTCTTCCCTACATGAAACTCAAATCCTGCCACCAGATTTGAAAGACATATTTAAAAGATAGCCAAAACTGCAAAAATGTAGTAGAGTTAGAAACAGTGAAAACAGAAAGAATCATTAAATTTATTAATTTCTCAAAGAACTAATCATGTGTTTGGTGCATTTTTATTGGGAAGATTCACCAAGTGAGAACACAAAATCAATCAAAATAACAAATTTGGTGAAAATAAGTTATTTGCACCAAACTGTGTAAAACAAAAAAAAAAACCCAAAACAAACAAACAAACAAAAAAATCAGTTCTCCTTGATGCAGTTTAGAAGCAATGATTGGTTCAAATGTGTCAGTCATGTGACCAAGATTTCGAGGCTTTTCGGATAAATTGGGCTGAACTACAGGAGCAAGAGGAAAGAAAATAAAAGATAATTGATCAGTAAAATAAATCGAGCATGACTCAGAAACCGTGTATAGAGGAGCAAGTTGTCATCGAGTTGTACAAACACCACATTGATGTTCACAGTATCTTGAAAAATGCAGAGTTTATAGAGGTTGTAAAAATAGAACTCAATCGAGATAACAGTATGTTTGTATTAGCAATCAGAGGGATGCCGAGTAGAAGCTAAATCTCTGCAAAGACATGAACATTAGGACTATGTGATGATATTTGTATGCTCCTTGTACCACCCACCCAGATTAATATCTCACTGCGTTGGCACCACATAGCAAAAGGAGGCTACAAACCAGCTACCTCTGCATATTTGTGGGTCATAACTGAAACCAAAATCTACAGGAAACCATCACCTGAGTCAAAAAAAGATGAAAAGATTGTCCAGCTTGCAAACTTCCACGCCCCTCCCTCAGAAAGGATTAAACGCTGCCGTGTCCTGACTCGAGCTATTCTTTCACCACATGTCTCAACTCTGAGAAAGAGTCCACCAGAGTGCTCAATGTCACAGCTAATCCTCTGAAGAATGATTCACATCAGTGTTCTAGGCAGAGTGAAGTATTACTGAAAATATGTAACCAGAAGAACACGACAGAGGACTCACCTGTCTAAAAGTTATCCAAACCACTGGAAACCCAACAACTTTACTTCCTTTCCCTCTGTCCTCTATGACTTACATGTGTGTGCTCTTTATTCGCTGCCTGACTGCAGTGTTTTGGTGTAAACATGAAACTGTCGGACAAGATCAGTAAACAAGGCGCTGTGTTCCCATTACAGCCAACTCTTGCTGACCTCGACATTTTCCAGTGCAGTCCAGCGAGAGATAGGTCGAAGTCTAAAAGGATGTCCAGATACTGTGACTTTTAGTCAGCTAGTCGGTGACACAGTATTTGCTTACTTGCAGTAAAATGTCTTGCTAAACTATCTAGAAAATAATCAGAGTAAATATTATCAGAGGCACAATTTTGAGGAAACTGTCTCTGATGCATTTCAGCATAAACGATACCTCTACAGTGTTATCTGATTTATCATTGTTGTGGGGAAAAAATGAGCAAAAGAGGCCTTAGGAAAGACCCAGGTAACTGAATCCTACCCTCATGAAACAAAGCCCCTCTGTTCTACTGTGAGGGCTCTACGTGACATGAATGATTACACAGCAGGTGACTTTCATAGTAGGTAGAAACCTTGTAGGTATCACTCTACTCAGAAGTGTGGGATCTGTTTATTCAGTGACAAAGACAGGAGGATAAGAGGAGATAACAGTGGAGGGATGAATGGAGGTGGGTGTTAAGACAATAAGGTGTTATCATTTTTATGCAATAGTGGTTGTGCCTGCAGCTGCGGTGAGTGTTTCACAAAGGCTTACGAACCATCACACTGGTTGGAAGCATAATTCTGATTTCTTCAAGAGTTAGAAGAGAGGATTGATGCCACGCTCATTTGTGTCGCAGCAGCAGAAAGCGAGGGAAATGGAGTTAAAACCCTGCATGCAACAAAAGTGAATCACTGAGACACAAGGGAGGGGTTCAGTGCCAAACTGGGCCAAATCACAAAAAATCCAAAGTTGGGCTTTATGTTTTTTTAAGTGTTTATGATCTACTAGTCGGTGGCAAAGTGGTCCAACCAACATCCCACTAGTAATGTCACAATGCAGCTTTGAACTTTGGCCCATAATGGTTTTGGCAGGAAAATTTAGCGGCACTAGTTGTTTACGATTCAAGATGGCGGACAGCGCAACCTCAAGCCCCGTGAAAACTCAACATGTAGTAACGGCAAGGTAATATAAAAACTTGATTAACCACCACCAAGCATCTATTTCTACCCCATGGTCCTCAAAAGTATCTCCAGTTCCTTATGATGTAAACGCTTCAATGCTCTTTAGCAAGACAAACCTTGAATCAGTTTTGTTCTCAGAAAGTAGAAAATGTGGTATGGCTCACTTTGGCACTCAGCAAAGAAAAAGGCACAATTCAAACTTAAATAAGTCATCACAGAGTAGCTGTTTCTGTCTCTGGACAGTGTTGAAACATCTTTGAATGCATGTAATGACTCCTCCAGCAAACAATGTTTCTTTTTTTTTTAGCAACACAAAATTTCGATCCCATTTTTCACTAAGACTAGTAAATGTGGTTTGGCTCGCTTTGGAAAACCTGTAATCATTGCTTTTCCAATCACCCACATGCATGAACATGAGAATAAAAAGACCTGCACACACCAGAAGCTTTTTCTGTTTAGGACCTATAGGCTGTGTCTCTCTGCATGTCTACATCATGGCCCCACATAGAAAAGAATGGCTGGAGGAACCGAAAAGTCTGATCGTGAGATTTCAAAAATATGAAAAGGATACAGGAAGATCGGTGATGAACTAGAAATCTGTGGAAACACAGTTGCAGCAGTAATAAGGGGGTAAAAATGAGCCATAGTGCCACTAATCTGAGCTGCAGTTGTCTGAAATGACACTACAGACAGACAGTATCATGTTTGTACATGTACGATATAATCTTCTCCCGCATCTCATACTGTCTGGCTCAAGCAGCCCCATCGACAATAAAACACACAAGTTCATTACACAATCACACTCCAAAAATTATTGATGAAAAACCAATTCGATGGCATCACTGTCTTGTTTTAAAAAAACGAATTTTTTTGAGTTTTGACGGCTTCATCCATCTTTACTTCCTTAAATGCCTCAATAAATCAGCGCCACAGCCGCTCTGTGGATTCATCCATAGACAGGACAGCAGCAGGATCACCAGAAGTTCCACCAACAACAATTACAAAATATCTTACAGCAGAACTACATTTGATCAGACAAAATTTTCAATCAAAGGCTGTCACATCTGGAACACATTACCAAATGAAATTAGTATATTAGCAGACTGTGCCATTGCGGGTGGGTGGGGGATTATAAGTTTAAAATGTTGTCTGTCCTGTTTTTATTGGTGTTGTTGGTCCTTTGTCTGTTTTCACTGGAAAGCCCAACCAGGGACGGAAAGTTAACTCTATATGCATCAGATGTTTTCTGTGTAAAAATGCACGGTCCCTGATCAAAAAAAAATACACTCTAGCTTTTGTTCAAAACAAAAGTGCAAGATAAAACTTTGCAGGAGACCATAAATAAAAGCCAGATAAGAGATTAGAAGCGCATTCTTTGGTCAGATGAGACCAAAGATAAATTTGTTGACTCAGATGCATGAACCTAGCAACCACTACCACAGAGGATGCACGGTCCCGACAGTGAAACTCGAACCTCATACAGGACGACATGATTGCAGAAGATGTGAAGAAATGTATAAGTTGCACCATAAATGAAACTGGATATAGCAAAACACTTGGCTGACAGTCCAAGAATGATAATCATCCCGAGCACACTGCCAAAATCACACAAGAGTTTCTGAAGAAGAAAAGAAGTGAAAACTATGATCTGGTTAACTTTTTCCCCTAAATTTTGAATGTCTTTCGTGTCAAGGAGGATGGAGTCTGTCATCAAAATTAAAGGGCGACATATGAAGTCATAAAAAATAAAAGATTTGAACCCTTGTGATGAACGGTGGAGCGACTTTTGTTGAGTTTTTACTGTGAGAGTTGTATTTTTATTATAGTACATTCAACTTGCTAGTTCCCAATTTGACATAAGAGCAAAGAACTCTATTTAGATTAGAAGCATTATGAAGTATTACAATTTCAAAATCATGTGACACTGAAGAGACATTGCACAGGGGTGTCCTCACTTCTGTTGTATATGTTATTTCCCAAAATGTCAAACTTTGCTTTCAAACGTTATGAAGGAACTTTTTGCAGCTCCAAGAACATCTGTGGAACACTCAAAGCATGCAACAACAGACACACAACTCCATTTAAATGATAAAAAAAGAGGCTTTTATTCACAGTGTCAGAGAATTTACAAATATTTGCATTACAAGGAAAATGTGCTGCAGACTGCTCATGTCTTGTTACATCATGCTCTGGAAGCCATGTGCAAGGGTTTCACTTCGGTCCTCTCCGTGTATATAAAATACACAAAACTGGTTACCACAATGAGAGTGGTTGAGATTGAAATGGATCCACCCTGCGGCACAGCTCCTTAATACTCTCTACAAAGTAAGAGAAAACGGTGACACATTAAACATCTTTAACTGACCACAGAAAAGATAAAAATCTCTGTTTGCTCACACCCACATGTAATCGCAATTCACTTACTGCTTGGATTATTTTTGCTGCAGAGGCATCTGATCAGATTCATTTTCTCTTTGGCGTTTGTGGGTATGAGCGGGGAAGGACACCTTTGTCTGCCAGTGGACATGGCTGCAGTGACAACAAAGGTGGTCATAAAACCATAAAACTCCAGCAACAACATGTTTAAATGCGACTAGTATTATTTACAATGTCAGGAAATTCAAGAGTAAATCC